GCCGAGGCGTAGCTGGCAAGCGGCAGAGACGGAGCAGGCCGACCACCAGCTGGCCCAGCCCAAGGGAGGTAAGGCACCCGCCGGAAAAGGGGAAAAAATGGCGGACAAAAAAAATGGCAGACAGCCTTGCTTGGCGACCCCCGTGAAATGGTCGATCGACCCCAAATGGGGTCCCGACCCACAGGTTGAGAACCACTGTACTAGAAAGATTCACTGTGTAGAGGGGAGCAGAAACGCCCTTTCTAGTGCCATTCCTAGCCAGTGAAAATTGTATGGACACAATGTGCAAGAAAGCATCTGTATGAATGTACCCTTGTTCAAGCATCCTTGGTTGTACATGTACTTAGCCTGTAAACTAGGCTCATTTTCAGCTTTATTTCAGGGGGGATTTTGTTTTATTCTGCAATTAGGAACTGATGCCCCTAGTTCCATCAGTCTAGCTGCAGATTCAAGAATGGCATTTGGATGGGGAAAGGTACATAAATCGACCTATGAATGTGTGCTCATATGGAGCCTTATAATGAAATGTTAAAAAAAACTAGTACCTTTATGTTTCTCCCATGCATTAAGTATGCAGTTTCTAAATGTTTGGGAGAGAACCATTTGTGTGATCACAACTTTCCTTCTAAGGTTATTTGGTAAATAAGAGTCAAAAATATTGCTCTAAGCTTTGAGAAAAGATGAAACAATACTGATGTAACTAATTTATTAAAGCAAAAAATTACATGTTGAATAAAATGTAAGCTACAATTTGATGGTGCAGCTCACAGAAATAGAAACGTAGTTCCTTTAGAAGGAAATCTGACTTAATGGGTCATTGAATGACCACAACTAGCAAATGTATCTAGGATTGCAATTTGCCTTGAAAGAAATCGACATTCTAGTTATTGAGAACTATTTTCTAAATAATGTATTCCGTAAACTCAAAAAAATCTAATGTAATATATTAAAATAGTAACAGGAATATCAGTCCAAGCATCATTTGAAATTCTAGGGTTGACCTCTTTCATGTAAGTGTAGATTTCTAGCTATGCTAAAGAAGTTGTCAAAAAATAGTGAAGACATTGAGCAAGGTTCTATCTGTATTGATGGAGGAAATAGCACATTATACAAATTAATATGTATTTGTATTTTTGATAAGTTAAAAACTTGTTATTTTAATAGTTGTGATCCAAATGTGGAAATACTAGACAAAAAAAGAATAAAGCAGATAATATTTTATAATTTTGTTAACTTCACTTGAGGAATCAATATAATAATAAGTAATATGCCATTATATGTGGAATGGCTATTGTCATGCACAGTGTAATATGCAATACTGACATTTATGGAATTACATATCCAGGAATGAATTTCTAATGTCTGTTCAATTCAGAATTTGCCACATAAAATGAGACTATACCATTTCTAAGAGAAGATCATCAAACATTTTCCTTAATAATTCCAGCAAAATTTGGTTCACCATATACCAAGGCACTCAAGTTTCACTGATAGAGTTTAGGTCTACTTCAGGAGAAATTTATGGCTCATTAGTTTTTCTACCCTTTAGTTCTAATCGTGCTTCTGGAGAAAGAATATATTATATTTAATAGATAGAACTGAATAATCTATTTTATATGTACTACCTGACACAGTGGGAAAAGGTGAAATGTAGATAAATTCTTTGTAAATCCTAAAATTATAAGGATAGAATTCTTTTATAGGAAAAGGGGTATACGATTTTTTAAATTCTCAATCATTGTGAGTCATTCAAGGCATCTTAAGCCTACTTTTCACCAAATTTGTAACATAAATATTTTAAATTAAAAAAGGAAATTCTAGTTTTGCCAAATCAATAGGATTTTTTTTAAAAAAGATTCATTTTTATTCATAATTTATAAAGCTTTTATAGGATAGAAACTTAAGTAATTCACTTAAAAAATTGAAATGTTACTTGATAGATAGAAGTACAATACATAAATACTGTTGCTTTATTTGCTTAGATTGAAGTGTTATTTACCTATCTGTGCTTATGTTTGATTGCATAATTTAGACACAAACGACTCACACTACTGACATGCAGTATGTCAGCTTTCCAAAGTTTGAAATTGACTACAAAAATGCTATAAGTGGTAAATATAGTGGATTGAAGAATTTGATAAAATACCAAAATATATAATTTTAATTTTGTTTATAATTGTTTCCTCTTTTAAAGGGTATTAAGCTTGGAGTTAAATAAGAACAAAGATGTTGAAAGAATTCATGGAAGTGGAATTAATACCTTGGATATTGAACCTGTTGAAAATCGATAGTATGTATATTTTATTATGCTTTGTTATGAAATTTATTTTACTCAACTGATTTGAAATATTTGCATTTATAAA